ATTTGTAGAGAGTATTTTACCTATGATCCACCTTCTGAAAAATGTATAGAGACTGAGATTGTCTAAGAAGAAGTGAATAGGAAAAATGTAGGTTAAATCTATTTTAGACATCTCTGTGAAAATTTTTTCTCAAAGAAAAAATTCTTTCTTTTCCAGATTCATGACACAAAAATGAGTTATTTAATTAGATTCAAATACCTCAACTGTCAAGAGGAATTTCAAGTTGAAAGGAATGGTGATTCTATTTTAGTGACATTGAATTAAGTGGTTAAAACAAGCACCAAAATGCTCTAATATGTTAACTTCCCTTCTGGGTAGCTGGTTGATCTTATCTTTTTTTATTAACGTGAATTACAGTGGCTTAACTTTCATTCATTTCAATTTTGAGAGTAATTTCCAGATAGCTTTGATTTATAGGGAAGAATTTCAGTCTGAATAGCAACTATTAATAACAAAGATAATTTTCTGTTCCTATTATTTACTAAGAGGAAAAGCAAATCTTAAAGTCAAATATTAAGGAAAACCACATAATGATGTGGTAAGTAAAATTGATTCCTATGTTGCAGGAATTTTTTCAAAAGCAGTAATCACTGTTTGTATAAATGATGCAACTGTGCTCTTCAAGCCATAGTCGCTTCCAACAGTATTAGGGTTTTTACTTAAGGAGTACCTTTGGGGTAAAAATCTATGTCATTATATCACTTCTGTTTTCTAAGCATCAAACATATGCTGTGTTACATGAAAAACTGCTACGCTGTACCATGCTACCCTATGTCATTAGCATTGAAGAGGTAAGTTTTTTGACTTAAGGGGAAATTTTTTAACTTAAGGGAAAGAGTCTGTCTGTCGTATAAATACAAAGTTATTTTTATGAGTAAGCTACTGCTCTAAAATGGCTTAAATTTTGAGGTGCTTTTCTCAGCTCAAGAGTGCAGAGTTTAGAGGAATGGGGAAAAAGCAGATTGCCAGGAAAAATGCTGTTTACGTTAATTCTTCCAGCAAGGATTTCTTATCCTGTCATGAAGGTACCTTTATCCCAAGCCTGTATGTGTGAAAATGTTAATCATCTATAAAGAAGTCATTTAATAAAGAATATGGCTGTACTACAAGATGCATACTTTGTTTTATTGTAGAAATGAAATTTATTCCCATCAACTATAGATCACTGCATTTAATTTCTACAGTCAATCGCACTGGAGGGGGGATTAGCATCAGTGCTATCAATACACTATGGTTATATTATTATTTCATGTGGGAATAAGTACCTGAGACAAAGTCTCAGCAAAGTGCTCGTATTGGATTGTTCTGCAGCACTGACTTGATTACAATTCACATTTCTTTAGTTTGTGGTTTATTGATGAAGCTACCTAATTGGGATGCTAAAGGAAAGTATGAATCCCAGGTGTGTAGGTATAGTAACATTTTTGTAGGTTTCCTGATAAATGCATGTTTTTGGAGGTGTAATCTTGTTCACTACCCTGCAAGCTTTGGTGCAAGAGGATTCACACTGTTGTACCCAAAACTTTCTAGGTCGCCTCTGATTGTTTTTCCTTGAACTCCAAGCAAATCAAAGCTGTCAGCAGAATAAATTGTGTCCTTAAGTTTTATCTGTCTTGTGGGGAAGGAGGAGGGAGGAGTCCTGTACCTAATGAGTAAAATAATTTTCTGCAGGTTACTTATAATTGTTATCATTGGCATCTAAACATTGATATGTTTAGAGGTCAATAGAGTAGCCATTCACGTTGAACTTAAGGTTAGATAATGCAAAAGGTTTTCGGCAAAGTATTTCTTGATTTGGTACTGAGAAGCAAGAACTAATCAATAGAATTTGATGCTGTGTTAAATCAGCTGTGCTAAGGAATGATAAATGCATTTATGAACTGTTATGCACTTTAAAAAATAAAAAGTGGATGTTGTTTAGTAACAAGAAATGTATAGCAAAATTCATGGTTACTTCTTTTTTTCAGGAGACTTTCAGAGTTCCATGTCCCAGCTGCTGATATTCTGGAGGAGTCATCTGAAGTCTTGCCCAGAGTCTCACCCAGTTGTACATCACTGTGAATGGCTCTCCTTGATTTTCATAGAGCAAGATGATGATATGTGGGAAGCTGCTAAAGCTTTATTACTCATTTATTTAAAATTTGATAGGTTAGTGTACATTGTGTTTGACAGAACTATGAAGAATTGTGATTTAGTGATGTTATTGTGATTCATGTAACTTTTCCATTGATGACTTTTTGTATAAAGACGAAATATTTTTAATAATTAGAAAAAAACCCAACCTACCTCAGGACAATGTAATAATGTGTGATGTAAGAGCTGTTAACTTTGCTGATAACTTGAATAAGTGTTTTTTGGATTGAAACGAGGGACTTATGCAAGAGTTTCCTATTAAATACTTTATCATATCCTGTAATTCAGAATAATTGACCTCACAATCTAAAATAGTGGTTAGACAGAGATAAAAGGCGAGACTCTTTTCTTTCAGCACTGGGAGTTTGAAAAGAATGTGATATAATAATTAAACTTCAAGAATTCCGGGACTTCTGGCAAAGTAGCCCTCTAACTACTCTTACTGCTGACAGCTGAAATTTGTTCTTTATGAATTTGTCCTGGATGTTCACTGTTTCATTGTTGTTTAAATCAGATAAAATATTGTCCTAATTTATAAAAGATTCCTCAAGCTTCCCATGTGAAGATATTGCAAGTAGTATCTTAGATACAGACAATTCTTCTTAGACACCTAAATGAAAGCAGGCCACTTTTCCCTATATGCTTAGCATCCTGAAAGTTGGGCTATGTTCAGGTTTACAAAAATACTAAAATAGCAATTCATGTATTGTAAATAACTTTGATTATTCCAGAATGTTTCCTAAGGAGGAGCGCTGCTTAAGGCGGCCTGCTTTAAGCGCTTTGGCTTCCTAAATTGTCTGATTTACCCCCACCCGCCTTCATTCTTTCTCATTCTAATATCAAAACAACTTTTTTGGTTTTTAATTTTTGGTGAAATAAAAAAATTTTACCAAAGTTTTTGACATCTGTTTGTTAAAAAACTGTGAACTTCCATGGAATATAATCCATTTTGTGACTTACTTTTCAGGTTACGGCATGATGCTGCTGACAACTTAAGCCAAAAAGCAGAGGAAACCTGGAACTTCCTTACGCATGCAGGTGGATACAATCCTCACTGTATCTTTTTATTTTTTCTAGAAAAAATTGCATTTGATTCCACAGTACTTCTAGATTTTTTGATTTCATCAGAAACTTGCTTTCTGGAGTACTTTGTAAGGTACTTAAAGCTTCTTAGAAAAGACTGGCATCAGTTTGTAGATGTCTGTAACCACTTTGATACAAAACATGACACTTTTCAATCAATTTCTTCTGTCAAGCCACACCATCTAGAAGACCAAAGCTGTATGACTGGTGAGAGTTTGCAAAATGCTTGTTGTGAACTAGAACCACAGACGTTGGTACCTTTGCCACCTTCTCACGATTACTTAGTGTTTACAACAGAGCGAGGTGATAATGAAGTTGCAGAGTCTAACCAGTCTAACTCATTGATATGCGACGATAGTACACCTCTGCTGGGTTCTCTTCAAAGCCTTGTTAATTATGACAGCTCAGACGACTCTGAATTAGAATCAGATGGAACAGAGTGCTTGGTAAACACAAAGCAGGTGCCTTTAAATAATGAGAGTGAGACGAGGACAAGGGGAACTGGATGCAGCTACACAGATGATAAACGGAACACACTGAAGTCAGAAGTGTTGCCTCTGAAACAAAAGGGATCTAATACCTCATCCTGTTTGACTTGTATGGCATCTTCGGATAACGTCATTCCCCTAAGAATAATGTTTTACAAATCCACACAATGTTTGGAAGAACTGCAAAAAGCTATTTCTCGGTTGCAGAGAAGAAATCTCTTCCCGTATAATCCATCTGCATTGTTAAAACTACTGAGCCACATTGAGAAGATCAGTAAGAATGTGAATCCACAATAACCCAAAAAAGTGTTCTAGTGATTTTTATTTTTTTTTATAACTAGTGCACTAGGGAACATTTCTATGAGATTAATGATTACTAAAGCTCATGCCTCTTGCACCTGTCAGTGTCTTTAACCTGAAACAGGATAAACGTGTGCTTGGTTGACACCTTAAAAATCTGCAATTGCACTCAGTGATATCATCCATTACCTTGGGGTCCTAAGCTTATTCATGGTATGTATGTCAGTGTATGCTATATAAGGATTAGTTGTTAGGTATTCAAAATTTGATGTGAAAGCGTATCAACACCACATGTACTCAAAGTATTGTCAATTATACTTAATGTCATTCTATATATGAAGCCGTTGACAGATTGGTAGTGATTTATGGACTGCAGTACAGTGTTAATGTAACACTTGAGTGCTTAGAGGTTGAGCTAAATAAAATACTGTTGTTGGGGGAAGTTTTGGTCCTTATAGTATGTGTTCTGCATTGGTGCTTTGCTGTAAGTGGATGTTCAGATGTGCTACCACAATCACAACAATACATGACACACTTTTCTTGGCTGAAGTGTTAAGCTGATGTCTAGGATGTACTTTTTAAGCTTTTACTGTTTGCCTGGTTTAATCAGCAGCATTGTCATTTCACTGAAAACTGAATTTAGTTTTTCTTGATATTTTATGGTATATTCCTTTAATTAAAAGGAAAAGTAGGTGTGGGACTAACGCATATATTGGCTATTTATAGAACATTTTAGTGGAGTATTATCTCTAAAATCAAGCTTAGGATTTGTTAAATCAGAAACAGATAACTAGAAATTAAGTGTCTGCAGTGCAGTGAGATTGGTATTGAATTTAAGTTCTTTACTTGCATCTTTTATTAGATCTAATTTGAATAACCTGAAAAGTATGTGTCTAAGACTGCCTGAGGAGAGTTTGTTCAGAACAGCATCCAAAACAGTGTGTGCACTTAGGAGGAAGGCACCTAATGTTGGGACGCTTAATGAGCAGCTTGTAGTGATCTTACACGGGTTAGGCGGTGGGAAAGCACTGACAACAGGGACTATTGTGAAAATCTGACCTCATCAGAACTGTAAGAAGAAGTTTTCCTTTCAGGATCACCTCTTGAAGGTAAGTGCTCTGATTGAAAACCAAGTAAGTTTTATCTTCTTTTTAAATAGCTATTTAGTGTTAAATTAAAAGACTCGGTTAACCAAGATGAACAGTCTCTGGAGCACATGACTGACCCCCAAATCTCTGTGGCCATCTAGAGTAGTCTTGAGCTCTGAACTGAGGAATCAACACTACTGGGAGAGGAAGAAAACTAGGTGAAGCTTATGGGATTACTTAGCTGGAAATCACGGTGCTCTCAAGAGACACTTGAATGGTATGAATTTTCAGACAGGAAGGTTTGAACTCAGCCTTACTGTTTCTGGATGACAGCTGTAATCATTGGGCAGTTCTACAGGAACAAGTGATGCGCTTCACTGGCATGTAGGAGATCTGAATATTCTGTGCATTTGTTGTTCTTCAGTTTCTTTCGGAGGTAACTTGTGCATAGGAGTGGGTGAGAATGCCAATGAATGGAAACTTTTCCATTTATGCTTATAGTTACTTTAGTTAAAACCTAACTGAGTTATAGAGAAGAATACCTGGTTTCTCTTTGCTGTTTGAACTTGGTTACGCTCTAGACGCTGAGTTGCTCGTTTCTGTCAGGACTAAATGCCTCTGGGCAACTCTAGACAACTTGGGAACTTTTCAGTTCAAACAAGGGAAGTGCCTTTGGCAAAGCAGTTGAGCAAGAGTTTCTCAAGATCACAGTTTTAAACGTAGGTAAGTACTTAGATTTCAGTGAAATCCTTTCCACTATCCTAATTTCTAATCTAGCCTTTGCTGACTATTTTATTTTAATTGAGTAACTTCACTGTTTTCTCTCAGCATAGTAGTGTTCAGTGTTTCTTGGTCTATACTTTGCCAGTTGGAAATCCCTAAATTGCAACAGTATTTCTCAAACAATGATAAGATAAGCAGGGTGGGAAAGGTAGAATGAGGAGAGTATGTAGGTTTTATTAAGTGCTAGTCATCTTGTTTGTCAGTGATTACAGCTATCAAAACTTTTTTGAAGTAAAAGCTTAGACATCTCAGACCAGTGTGTAGAATTTAGCAAGAAGTGTAGGAGCCATGATTTTTGATTTTTGAGTACAGCAAATCCAATTGCAATCCAACTGTACTTAATTCTTACAGGCATGAAGTTGATTGTGTGCCCAGTTGCTTATTAGTAGTGATCATTCCCACATGTTTCACTTATCAGAAAGCCATTGTTTTAATTCTCAGAATGTTTTAGTGGTAAAAATGGGTAAATGTGGTTTGTATCTGGCAACCTTAATGTGTTGATATTTTACCATTTATGAACTGAAGGACCTGAGTTGGAGTAAAACTGATGTGAGTCAACTTTTTTTTTATTGCACACAAAATAAGCATGAGCAGTGGAGGTAACTAGTAGTTCTATGGCTATATTCAAAAAGTCTAGCACAAAGAAAACACTTTGCAAAATAATTTGTATTTTAATCCATTGGTGAGTATATAAGGTGGAGTTGGAGGTGGGATTTTTTGGTCTTGAGTTTTTACTATCTAAATCTTTTAGGCAAAGCTGTTATTTATTTTGCTAGAACAAGTTAACTTGGCTGCAGAACCTATAACCAATGTTAAATTAGAACTTCTGAAGCTGATCAGTTGTACCATTACTAGGAGGTTGATAGACCTCACCTTTGGTTGTTGGTATCTAACAGTTTTGCTTATATTATTTCAAAGCAAGACACAGAACAGCTCATGAGACCTGTCTGGAGACGGTTTTCTGTCTGAGGACTTGTCCTGAAATGTCCACAGTTTCCATTTATGTCTGTGCAGTTGTTTTGAGGCATTTACCTTCAACATCAATAGAATAAATTATGCTTTAATGAGGTAAGCAGTTAGCAGTAGAAGTTGCTTACTGGATGTGCTTTTTAAAAGCAATATTCTTCAACTGGAATATTTGCAGAGCTTGATTGCAATTACAGCTGAATCCAGGTGGTTCCATGTTTGTGGTTCTTCAGACTGGATTTCCTCCAATATTTTTATGACTGCTCTCCATTCTTGTTTTAAGACTTGTAATACGGGTTTTAATCCTGTAATACAAGAATAAAAACCAACCTTGAGAATTTTTATTCTTGCTGCAGAGCTGGGAATAAGGAGCCTTGGTTGTTCCTGGGTTTGTCGCTGCAGGATAAGCATTGTTTGTAGTTTTTCCAAAGTCAATCTGGGATGGTGTCTGAAGTTGGTATCAAGTATTTACCACAGCCTCTCACTGTCAGTAGGAGTGAAAATACTGTGTTATGGTTACAATTTTACTTCTCTGCATTTTCCCTTAAAGAGTTGTCCAAATGAATTTGTAAATTCTTGTTATATTTTGTACAAGTCTTCTAGGCTACCTGGTTCACTCTGAAATCTTGCTAGAAGCCAACTGTGTGTGTCAGAATGGATGACAGCAGTCTTACCTCACTAAGCCTCAGCAGTCTTGTATCACTAGCTCAACAGCAGGCATGGACCTGGTGCTGATTGAGTAACATCTCAGGGATTTAAGCTTTTCCAAGTCATTGTCTTTTAAAATGTTGTGCAAATAAGTTTATTGCTGAAAACTGTCAGAGACGCTCTTTAACAGACAAGCTGTTTTGCTCCTGGTTTACATAGAGGAAGGAAGGAATACAGCAATGTATTTTGTTTTAAAAAGCTTGCGTGGAGAACTTAGTTAGCATTCCTTAGTCAAAGGAAATTATGTCTGAAATGGTGTTCTCTTTCTGTTGAAGCCACCACAGCTGCTGTGAGAATTAGGCAAAGACCCATTATGCAGCAAATATGAAACTCTATCAATATTTTTTTTTTATATATATGTAATTCCTCAGAGAAGAATCTAGTGCTTGGTCGTCTTCAACAGAGTATTGGTCCCTCTAAAAGAGTGGTTCTTCACCTAAGCTAAAAATACTGACTAGTATGATGCCAGTATTTTTCTATAATTTTCAATTATGAGCTGATGTGGAGGGGGGAATTCCTGGCTGTGGAGCATCAAAGGGATTGCCTTTCAGTTTCACTTAGCAAATGCTTATATTTTGTGCTCTGTTCCCTGTGGATGGATAAAGGTTGATGCTCTAAAGAGTCTTCTAGTAATGTAATCAAACAACATCTGCAGGTGTTACAAGTTGTTGAGGTTTATTTTTATATGGTTGTTAAACCAGTGCTTCTAGCTCCAAGGATCAACAAGACATCTTGTTTAATTCCTATATTATTTGGACTGTTGATAACAAATTAAAAAACTCTCTGAAGGGATTGGCTGGACTAACTGTTAAATATCTAGTGTTCCAGCCAGAATATTTTGTGTAGTTTCCTGCATCTTAAGATAGTAATAGCACATGGGAGTATTATTTGAGTGAATTAGTAGTGCTGTATTCAGAGTAGAAAGTGTGAAGTATGGAAGTCAAACCTTTGATACAGTTCTTGTTAAGATTTTGTGAGTAGCACACAAGTTTTAACAAACTGCTTACTATAAATGTAAGCAACCAAAGTTACTCTTCTTGCTGTATTTACTTTTTCAAATATATTAGAACATACTTAATAGAAGTACCTTATACCTGCATAGCTATATATTTGAATTGCTATAGTGTTTCTGGTGTTAGAAAGGTGAATTTGACACATATGGACAAGGTGACGCTAAATCAAGAGGAATGAAAGAAAATCTTCTCACCAAAGATAGCTTAAGGACAAAACAGACCAGGATTTTGCATTAAGAATGCTGACCAAACTGGAACCAGATGAAGTCTTCACTAAATCTCACGTACATCTCTGTGCCTCTGGATATGAGAACATTCTTAATTGCCGCCCTGGAGGCTTATTGATACATTGTATGATCAGTATTTAAATGAAATACAGCCAAGACTTTGTAACAACTTCAAAGAGATAGTATAATTGTGGTACTTATATCCCTCAATTGCAAAGCATGGAGAGAAATTGGTTCGAAAGCAGTCCCCAGGTAATGCTGGTGTCTTTTGCTGGAGGCTTTTTTCTAAGGCATATTTGAAGCCTATTAATGATCCTGTTCTTTGCATTTAAGTGAAGCGATGGCAGCTTGGGTCAGTTGTAGAGTGTCTAACTGCTCCTTTACTTTATTCTTCAGTATTACTAGGGACATCCCCATTTTAGCCAGTTGTCATCTTCCTTAAGACCCCCACTCTCAAAGTATTGAGCTTTCTAATTCTTGTTGAAATTCCCAGAAGCCGAGTTCTGAAACAATACTGTAAAAAAGATTTAAGGGTTTTGAAGATTTCAGCCTTTGTGTTCAAATTGTGTGTATTCCTGATTTAGTCCTGCGATGGCATTCATGTACAATAAGTGTTTATTACCGTAATGCTTGCTGTGTTCAAAATCATGTGTCTAGTCTTCAGTTATGGCAGTTGACACAATTTATTAGATATGATTAAATGCATTATGAATCAGGTCATAATTCTTGTGAGAAAGGTCTTGAGGAGAAAGCTTTTTGAGAGATTGCAAATGGACTTCTTCATCCCTTCTATGTAGGAGAAGGTTGGTGCATTAAGAGATGTGAATTCACTTGAAGACTATAACTACAGATTGCAAGATTATGAGTTATGATATTGATGTCCTTGAACATGTGACTTGGAATGGTTCATTTTCAGATCTTTGTTGATTCTTGAGGAGCGGAAAGTATATGAATATCCAGGGTATTTTACCTTAATCTTGAAGGAATGTCAGATGGCAAGCAGATGGGTTTCACTGGTGGTGAAAAGATAATCCAAATTATTCTTTTTAGATCAAATTGGTTCTTTTTTTTTTTTTCCTGTGTGTATACATATGACTGAGATTTGATTAACTGCCGTTGAGATAATCAGTTAGGAAAAATAGCTAGGCACTAATAGGCAATATATTTAAAACATCTGTGGATTCTCCAGATGAATTTTTACTTTTTTTTTTTTAAAGGAAAACAAAAGAAACCCCTAGGTTTTGTGGGTTTGGTGTTCTATTGTTTTATTTTTCTTCTTCTCCCTGCAGGTGCCATCATACGCAACACCTGATTCTAGAAGCTT